TTTTTTTTTTTTTTTTTTTTGAAAATACGAAATGCAAAACTGGTCTAGCAATGCAATTATTTTAAGTTGTCATGTGATTTGATTTAAATAATTTGAATAAATCTTCAGAAGATAAAGGTGAAGTACTTGTGGCTTGGTTTATGTATTTCTTGTATATTTCTGGTGTCAGTAAAGCTGAAGACCTACCTGAGGTAATCATGGTAAATTATCTGGAAGCTACAGGATAAATGAATGACCCTGTGTTAATGCTGCTTTATGTCTACAGTGTTGAATTTAAAATTTATATTTATTGAATATAAAACCTAGTACTAATTCCATCTTTAGAAATTCCTGCTTTGTTTACCATTTCTGCAGGATACAAGAGTCAATATCTCACATATAATTCTATTAACCAAAATAAAATAGGCTGCATATTATGTTACTATTTTATTATGTTTAAAACTAGGTTGTTTGGGCTTGTTCTGTAAGTAAAGTACAAACAAATACATTTATTAAGAGAAACCCTGGCATAAATTAATAGAAAATAATAAATATTAATGATGAGATTTATATCTTGCATGCATCAGACTGTGTGAGGAAATTCCATAAAACACCATGGAAATGGGGGGTTTATCTATTTTTGAAGAGCATGCCTGCAGTGAGTTATCTGTGCCTGGTTGCTATTTCAAGAAGGGACAACTGCTTCAATATTTTAAGAAGGGACATATCCTGAATCAGAGAAAAGCACTTGTCAGGAGCTTTCACTCATTTTGGGTTTGGAAATCTACACTGATTTTCTGCTTGCATCTCCATTCATCTGTGTCAGCTCAAGATTTCAAGTGGGAATCAATTTTCAAAAGTGTGGTATTGCCACAGATGTAGACAGGGCCATGTGATAAAGGAAAAGGTAGTAATATATTCAATTCTGCAGATAAGATTAAGAGTTTGGTGCCAAAATTACATCTTCTTGGAAAGTATCTTTACAATCAGAAAAAACTATTAGGGTCTTAAGGCCTATTATACCCATTTCCACTATTCCTAATGTTTATTATGATGAAGGAAAAAAACAAGAATAGGGAGTGTAGGAAAAAAATATAAGCTAAAAATACTAGTGTTCTCCAGTCCACTTTTATTTATACGAGTTTAGATTCTAGATTAGATATACCTGTTCTCATGGCACAATTAAGCAGAAGTTGTATCAGTGGACTGATCTTGGAATCTCTTCTTCATGGACATGAA